CAAGAGGACTGCTTCTTCATCACATTAGTTCATTTTGAAATAATGCAAATTTCAAATGGTTACACAACCATTTTTAATAACAGATAAAAAGAAAAAGGTAGAAATGAATTCTTTCAGAGAGCAGAATTCATAAATAAAAATAAATAAATATAAACAAACAGATATACATATAATATAGACAATTCAATTGTTTCTTTTTTTTTTTCTGTTCTTTTTTTTTTCTGTCCTTTTTCCTCCTTTGCAAACCGTCACGATCTTTTATTTCTTTTTTCTTTTTTTTTCTTTTTTCATTTGTTCTCTCTACCGATATGAATTCACCTCAGCGCACAGGGATGCATAGGACACAGTTCCCCCACGCATCTGATCAAAAGAAGATATTGTTGTCACTCCAAGTGCGTACAGTGTGCTTAGTGTTAACGGTCTATTTAACGGACGAATGGCGAGAAGTGTGAGATTCACTCCTTCCGAGATACCAGAAGATACCGCCTCATTCGAGTTATCCGTCACATATACAATATTAAACCCTCTACCAGTCTCTGGAATGATTTTTCGCAAACGGGATCGTATTTTATTATAACTACCAGAATCTAATTTCGATCCAACCGTTTTGGAATCAAAAAAGACAGTTATAAAAGGTGTAAGATCACCATGGGTGGAATTACGAAATAAAAGTTCCACCACTGCAGAAGAACGTGAACCATAAATGGCAACATATGTACACCTTTGATTTGGGTTTCCCCATTCTTGTATAGCAAGAGCAGCATCACGGAAAACATGTCCTTTTACGTTTCTATTAATAGTAGTTTCTGATAATACTAGATTCTCTAAATCTCTGTAGAATACAGGCTTTTCATCTTTACTTATTATTACTTCATTAATACGTTTAGTGAAAATTAAAGAAATACGATTAGTATCAACTTCTGGAGTATTTAATGCTTCTCGAAGTTCAGGACAACCTAATGATGCTTTTTCTACAATAGCACATAATTCTTCATTGTTGGGATACTCTTTTTGAATAAAGTCATTTACTTCATTCTTCATTTCCATAAAAATACGGTCTACACAAGTTAAAGGCATTGTGGTTCCATCTGTATCTAATAAGAATACTGTAGGACGTTCTCTAATAGGTAATCTTAATAATGATCGATTGACATACCTTGTTTGTATACCACTCAAGGAGCCTGCAAATGGAGTTCCCTCAGTTACCTCCTCATCAGGGTTCTCTAAAAGTAACTTAAAATGTTCTTGAACTTGAACGCCGTTTTCTGCTTGTTTCATGGAATTACTATTATTCTTAGTAAAAAAAAAAAATAAACCAAGTAAATGTACAGTTATATATATATATATATATATATATATATATATATATGTATTTTACCTTTTTCGATTAAGTATTGGATGATAGATAGAGCCTATATTATTAAATAGACAATAAAAAAACTTAAGGGTAGAAAGGCAGAGTTTTTTTTATTTATTTGTTTGTTCATGCATGAGAATAGTCAAATAAATAAAGCATTGGTTCAGAAAGAACAGAAAAAAAAAAGAGAAAGAAAGAGAGGGAAAAAAAACTTTTTACTTCTTCCCATACAGATGTATACCACTCATGCATCATGTGAAAGTATGTATCTATATGTATATTATATATACATACATGAACACAGAAGCATATATATGCATACCAAACTATTCTTATCTCCCCCTTTTCCCTCCTAGCATAACCAATATATATATATATATATATATATATATATTTATTTATATGCACAAGGGAATTGGTGTGTACGTATATCTTCTCTATGATGCCCTTACTGTAACGACAGGTAAATTAAATTTCCAAATTATTCTTTTCTAATCTTTATTTTTTCTTTTTTTTTTTGTTTTCTCACTTTGATATGTAAGCCAGTACACCCCAAGCGAAGCGAGGAACACGATACGATTGGTACAAATGTATTGGAATTCTAAGTTACTGTCAAACATCAGGGTCTTTTTTTTTTTTCTCTTCCGATCACGGTGAAAGCAGTATGCATCGTCGCGTCGGGTATCTTCTTCTTCTTCTAGTTCTTCTTCTTCTTCCTAGACTCTTTCTTTTTCTTTTTCGTTCTTTCTTGTTGTATTTCTTCCTTTGTTTTTTTTTTTTTTTCTTTTTCCTCTTTGGTTTCTTTTTTTCTTTCTCTTTCTTTCATTCTTACTCTATTCATCTCTTTCTAAAGGGCATGTTTCACCTTCTTGGCGACCTCCTTGATTTTCTTCTTTCCGCTTTTGGGTGTTTTTGTTTTTGTAGTCCCTTTTGACTTCTTCTCTGCGGCCACTGTTTGCTTGACGGTGGCCTTTACTTTTTCTCTCATCTTTGGTAGAAGTTTTTCCAGTTCCTTCTCAATCTCTAGAGGCTTTGATACATCATATAATTGCGAAAGTGCTGAAAATCGCTTGCGGTAATTCAGTTCTCGCACTTTATGATAATTATCCCGCACAAATCGGGCAAATTCTCCCTTTCGTTTGCCCTTTGCGGCACTTGCGGCGGTGAGTCGTTCTTGTCGTGTTTGTCGCGCAAGTGATGGATGTCGGGCGGCGCGTTGTTTGAGTTCCCGCCGTTGATTCTGTGAGAGTTCCTTATACATCTTGGAGAGAATACGGCCCCGCTTGGAGATGGCACATCCTTTCAATGCGGGATTGTTCTTTTGGTCCATGAGAAAAAGTGTGAAGGGACTCACACCACGCCAGAGAGAAGATGCGCGGAACATCTAATCGTCACAACTTCCCGCACCTTCAATACGTGAAGAAATCGTACGAGTGGCACAGAGGTGAGAAGGAAATCAAGTAGTTGACTTCTTATCAGGCTAACATATTCATTTCATATATATATATATATATATATATATATA